TGGTCTCCAGCTCGGGAGCCCGAGCCAACGCTTGCCATTCCCACCAGGGCCAGGTGACCCACCAGCCTGGTGGAGGCCTGGCTGCCGAGCCCCGTGGAACGTGCAGCTCAGCTCCTGCACTGTGTCTACGTGGTTGTTTCTCAGTTTGTGGCATGATGGCTGTCCCACAGCTTTCCTTCAGCTCTACTCCAACTCAGTTCAACTCAGCTGGTTGAAGCAATGCAGCCCTCCCGCATGAGGCTGCCAGGCTGCTGAGTTTTGCCAGCATTGAAGGTGCACCACCACACTTTCCACTGTGCTGGCATTGGCCTGAAGGGATGGTCGGGGAAGTTATTTTACGCACCTGTTTTAGCACAGACCTGTTAGACTGGGCCCAGAGGGGGTCATAAAAATTGCCTAAGGACTGGAACACCTCTGCTATGAAGAAAGGCTGAGAGAGTTGGGGTAGTTCAGCCTGGAGAAGTGAAGGCTCTGGGGAGACCTTATTGCAGCCTTTCAATATAGTAAGGGGGCTTATAAAAAAGATGGAGACAGACTTTTTACTTGTCCTGTGGTGACAGGACAAGGGGCAATAGTTTTAAACTGAAAGTGGATTGATTTAGACTGGATATAAGGAAGATATGTTTTACAAGGAGAGTGGTGAGACACTCGACCAGGTTGCCCAGAGAAGTTGTGGGTGCCCCATCACTGGAAGTGTCCAAGGTCAGGTTGGACAGGGCTTTGAGCAACAATGATCTAGTGAAGGATGTTCCTGCCCATGGCAGGGGAGGCTGGACTAGATGACCTTTGAAGGACCCTTCCAACCCAAACCATTCTATGATTCTATGATTTTACTCTCATCCATCATGCCATTCAGGCAGCTTCAGCTGCGTGCATCACTACAAGAGTGCAATAGGCACGTTGAGAGAAACCCCAATGAGCCTGGTGTGTTGGTCAGCAGAAGGCTGAATATGAGCCCGCAGTGTGCCCAGGTGGCCATGAAGGCCAATAGCATCCTGGCTTGTATTAGAAATAGTGTGGCCAGCAGGACTAGGGAAGTGATCGTCCCCCTGCACTCGGCACCAACTGAACTGTGTTCAGTTTTGGGCCCCTCACTACAAGAAAGACATTGAGGTGCTGGATTGCGTCCAAAGAAGAACAACGAAGGTGGTGAGGGGTCTTCAGCACAAGTCTTCTGAGGGCGGCTGAGGGAACTAGAGTTGTTTAGCCTCGAGAAAAGGAGAGTCAGGGGAGAACTCATCGCCCTCTACAACTACCTGAAATGAGGTTGTATAGAAGTGGGGATCAGTCTCTTTTCCCAAATAACAAATGATAGGATGAGAGGAAACAGCCTCAATTTGTGCTAGGGGAGGTTTAGATTGGATTTTAGGAAAAATTGCTTCACCGAAAGGGTTGTCAAGCATTGGAATAGGCTTCCCAGGGAAGTGACTGAGTCACCATCCCTGGAGGTACTTAAAAAATGCAGCACTTAGGGGCAAAGTTTAGTGGTGTACTTGGCAGTGTTAGGTTTAGGGTTGGAGTTGATGATCTTAAGGGTCTTTTCCAACCTAAACGTTTCTATGATTCTAAATAAGCCCCATCCTAAATGTGCTCCCACCCCGGGCTGGACCTTCCCAGCGTGCTGTGAGACCCAGACTCCCCCCGGCCGGCTCATGACAGTGACGGATAGCCTGTGTATTTTACAACTGTTTGCCCACATCCATCTTGCCGGCAAGGCAGGTCCGAGGATAGCCGGGGCCGGCACCTTTGGCCCCCGGCTGCCGCGCGGCGCAGGGCATCGCCAGCGCTTCCAGGGCTCTGCCACGGGTCGTGCTCCATAGGAGAGAGGTCTTGCAGGAGGAAGCCCGACGGCTCGGGGCAAGCTGTCTCGAAACGATTTATCTGTCACATAAATGTGGTTTTATTGGTTTTACTGTTTAAACTTTTCACCTCTGCTGCTAAATCTGAACGACCGAAAAAGAAAAAAAAAAAAAAAAAGAAAAGAAAACACCGCCGCCACAATATAAATCAAACCCGACAGCACATACACTGGGGGGAAAGGAAAAGAAGGGGGTGGGGGGGCGAGGGGGGGAAGAGGAGCTTTTACCACGATGATATGAAAGTGGAATAAGCTCAGAAAGCTGCAGACGTGCGCAGAGCAGGGCTGCGAACTTGCAGCTTCCCGGGGCACGGGAAGCATTTCTGCTGCAATAGCGGGGAGAGGTTCACATATATATTTATAAAAATGAAGAAACGGAGAATGGTTTGAGTATGCCTCCAAGAGAAAGGTACCAAAAAAAATAAATAAATTGGTTTTACACATATACATAAGCTGTTACTCAAATGGTGATTCGAGAGAGGGCAACCCTGGAAAGAAAGAATTAAACTGGGAACCAGTTCCCAGCCCTGCCCCAGGCTCCTCTTGGCAGAGGCCAAGAAGTACTTTCTCCCCACTTCCCTCAGTCACATCTCAAAAAACACTTCCTTTTCATTCCCCTTGTAATATCACCATCTCAAACTCTTCAAAAATGTTGGTTTTTTCAAAGCATAGTCACGTTTTTACAGCCCTTACATCAAGTACAGGGAAAGGATGGTTGCAACTTAATTGCACGCTGGTGGCAAAGGAAACGGGGACATCACAATGACTTTGTGAGCTTCTCCCTCCAGATGCAAAGCAAAGTGGAACAGTATGTTCTGTCTGACACCAGACGACATGAATCTGGATAAAATTCCTCCAGCCAAGCCAGAAATAATGTAATGTGAATCCAAACTGATTCAAAACACAGCTTGCAAGCTCTTCCAGTGCCCCTGGAACAAGATCAAAGAAAGCACCAGCATTTACACGCTTGCACCAGTGTCACAGTGGGCTCTGCACAAACCTGGGAGGTGATGCACGGTGGCTAGAGATAAAGAAGATGGCAGGAAAAGGAGACCCATGTTTTCTAAGGTGAAAATAAACCCCCACA